GCTTTTGATCTCAGACTGAGAGTTGCATCATTGGCATCTTAGTTCTGAGGCCTTCAGACTGGGACTGAGCCACACTGTAGATATCCCAGGGTTCCAGCTTGCAGACAGTCTGTCATGGGACTTCTCATACATGAGCTGATTCCCCTAATAAATCCTTTCTCATATATCTGTATACGTATCTTATTGGTTCTGTCTCTTTGAAAACCTCTAATACAGATTTGGTATTGGGGAAGCCAAGTATCATTCCTTCTTACCATATTCCTTCTAACACAATGGAAGGGATCAATGAAATTGTTCCCTTGCAAAAACACTGTGATAAATTAAGTGTATGCGGCTACTTAATGGTAAAAGATAAATTTTAAAATATAATTGGTGCTATGAATACAGAAAATCACTTAATTGTAGTGGTCAAGCAATAACCAGACTTTCAAATAGACAGCATACACTTCAAAAATTTGTAGACCACAACCACCCTCCAAATACAAGTGGAGAGAGTGTTTTGAAGATATTAGAAGTGAAAATGCAAACAAAAAAATACAAGAAATCTCCCCTGCCAGATTTTTCAATGGTGTACAACTTCTGCCCCTTCACACATAGTGCCAGTTTGTTATGCTGAGCATTTAATCTTCGCATAATTTCCAACACTGGAGGTATAAATTGTGTAAACATTTCGAGAGTTCTAATTTGCATTTTTATAAATTTGAGTCTACGAAAGTGCATTATTACAATGTTAACTTTGGGTATAAGCACTGTGCATGTATGAAAAAGGTTGAAACTTCCTCAGTAAATGAAGAGATGTCCATTTTGTACATCTGCATATGTGAAAGATAACATTTCTTGAGATCTTGGCTCTTTGGATATGGATAACTGCGTATTCAGTGGTTGACCCGTCATAGTTTTTCATTGATCTCTTCAGAAGACTTAGGTTGTTCAATACGGTATTTCATGCATCTGACTGCAGCTATAAAGCTGGCGGCACACAGTTGCCAAGCATAGTGGTATGCATTTATGCATTTTGCTTTTTGACATATTTCCTTATGAATATGGTTTTTCTGCTTGTAGCTATTATACCCATGCACCTATGATTAATATATCTGAGTGTTTATACTTGCAAAAATGTATGTTTTTATTGCCTATTTTATTGTGTAAAGTAACCTATCAAGTATTGTTAGGTTTTTATATTTCTAAAATAAACCCTCTTTATAAAATAAATACATGTCTTTTTTTAAAAAGGAATTTTTAAAAATTATTTCTTTCCAGAATTATACTTTTAGGATTTTGATCTTTCAGGATTGTGATTTTCATTCAAGATTTTACACTCGGGATTTTGGATCTTTCAGGATTTCAACATTTGGCATTATGGTTCTCAGGAGTGTGTCTGTTAGAATTATGGCCCAGGCCCATTTGGCTGATTGTGTAGTTTTAAGTTTTCTATATTCTTGGTGGTTTTCTGTTTAGTTGTTTTATTTTTATTGAGAGTAATGTATTAAAATCTCCATCTATCATGTTGAAATGTCTGCTTGTCCTTCCAGTTTTGTCAGTTTTTTACTTTATATAATGTTGGACTCTCGTTAGATGTCTATGTATTTATAGTTGACTTATTTTTCTAAAGTATTATCCATTTTACTATTATGAAATATTTCCTCTTTGCCTCTTATAGTATTTCTTGTCTGTTTTTTTTCTGATATGAATATAGCTGCTCTCTCTTATGTTACTTTTTGCATGGTATGTATTTTTTTCCATCCTTTTACTTTTCAACCTATTTGTGCCTTTGAATCTAAAGTGTATTTCTTATGGATAGCATATTGTTTTTTATGCAGTTGACAGCCTTCCCATTTGACTGGGTTATATAGTCTGTTCACATTTAATGTAATTATTGATATGATTATGTTTATTAATACATCACCCATTTTGCCATGTGTAGTCTACATATCTTGTATTTTTTCCCTGTACCTCTCCTTTTATTGCCTTTTTTAATGTTAGATAAATATTTTTAGTGTGCAATTTCAATTACTGTGCCAACTTTTTTTAACTGTATATTTTTAATTATCTTCTTGTTGCCTCTGAACATGATGAGCCATTTTTCTGTTGATGCTTTCAAGATTTTTTATGTATCTTTGTCTTTTATAGTTTGATTATGATGTGTATAGGTGTGGGTCTCTTTGTATTTATCCTACTTGGTCTTTATCAAGTTTAAGTCTTTTAATATTTCTCATCAGAATTTAAATTCATAATCACACCTTGTTGCCCCATTTTACAATAATGAAAAAAAAAGTGCAGGCCTTAGTAATTTTTGCAGCCATGTAAAAACACTTTTTTGCACATTTAATTATTTTTGAAATATGTTCAAAATCATTTATTTTACTTCCATGTACATTTTGATGGACTTTTTTCAAATACCTTTAAGTAGATGGTTTGTAAATAATGCAATTCAGAGGTATTGATGACATTTTAATTGTTTTTCTATAAAAATAAATTCTTAGAATTGGCATCAGCACACTTAAAGTGTAATAGTCTAGAAGCTTGTAACTGTCTTTGACTTTTTCCTATTTTATTATTTTTCATATTAAATCAAGCCTACCTCATGCTTTCGTTAAAGCACCTCTGGAATTTGTCTTCAAATTCTATCACACTGCATCTGTTCTAGTCAAATGCCTACTTGTTTTGTCAGCCTAGTATCTCCTTCCATATCATTGCTTTCTGCATATTTGCCTGTCTAACCTTTCCAAAAAACATCCCTTCATCCTTTAAGATTCTTCAGGAAATGCCATATTCTCACAATGGTAAGTCCAGGCTCCTCTACCCAATATTTATTATCATTCCTGTCTCCACCAAACTCTGTCTCTCTGTATTGAATTTATTTTCTGCTCTTCTCCCATTGGTCTTTGTCATTTGTTGGTCCCCAAAGAGCCCATTGTGCAAGCTGTATTTAGTTTTTCACTTGCATGCCTTTCCTCATGGTTTTAACCCCGCCCCCATGCCCTGCTGGGAATCCTTTACGTGTTTTCTTTGTGCCTTATTCAAATTCCCATCTCCAGTAAATTTTAGAAGAGTTTCTCCAAGCCTTCACATAACCTTCTCTGAGCTCCTCTTGCACCTTGTTGGTTGTGTGTGATGTGCTTCTCAATGGCAGAGGCCTTGTCTCATTCTTGTCTTGACACTGCCCATGTTAAGTCTGAGATTGGTTGCTCTTCTCTCCCACATAGTCATTTTTTGATTTTTAAATTTAGTTCTTTTCTCTTTTTCTTTGTATTTCTTCTTATGACTTATAAAACACGATGATTCTTCCTCATGTTTTATCCCCACACACCCAAAATCAGAAGCATTTTTGTTTTGTGAAAGAGATAGACAGGCTTAGCAGGGTGGAATACTGTGCCAGGGGAGCCAAGCATGAAATTGACTCTCCTGTGCACTAGTTAAGTTCAAGTAGAAAACTCCCTTTCAAAGTCACAGGCTGTATACTGAATCCTACCTGCCTGCTCCGCTGCAGGTGTATATTTTGTTCAGTATTGAGGAAATTGAGCAGTAATGTATGAACTTCCCAGCACAAATTTGTAAATATTAGAAAAATAACTACGAGTTAGGGTATTTTGGACTTGTATTACTTTTATAAAGTAAAATAATTATTTTAAATTCTCTAACAAAAGGTCTGTAGCAAAGATCAGCAAACCTTTTCTGTAAATGGCCAGATAGTAAATATTTTTAGGTGTTGGAAGCCACATATGGTCTCTGTCACGTGTTCTTTGTTTTTATTGTTGTTTACCATCCTTTAAAAATGTTTAAAAAAAAAAAAACCAGTTTCAGCTTGCAGGCAGGACAAGAGCAGGCCACAGGCTAGATTTGACCTGTGAGCCATAGTTTACCACCACCTGGTCTGTAGCAATGAGAAAAGCTACTCTGTTCAGTTGAGCATCCAAGATGGCAGAAGACTGTTATCCAGTAGAGAAGACATAGCTAATACTAATCCAACTGTTGTACAAACTGGAATGTGCACAGAGGGGTACTGTCAAGTGGTAGAGCCTGGGAAATCTTAACCTAGGAGGAATGGCTCAGGAATAGGGACAGGATGAAAGAAGGGGAAGAGTGGTCTTCGACATCTAAGTCTCCATTGTGAAAGTAGACTTGTCCTGCACAGTGCTGACTGTAGGTCTTCAGTATAATGTACTGTCCTGGAAAAGAGTAAATGTCCTTCCCCTAAAATGGTGATTTTTCCCTGAGGGACTAAGTTCCTTGTAAGGAACTTCCTAATCTTCACTCAAGTCTTAAGTGATTTGATGTATGAAAAGGACCTAATTGTACTCACCATGGAACAGATGACAACTGTAGGCATCAATGATGAGGAAATTATGGAGTAAATGGAAGTATTTAATTTGGGAATTAAAGTAAATCTTTATAGGGTATGTATACTTTGGGTTTTTTAAAAGGTGCCACATGCCTAAACAATATCTAAAAATGTTAGTTAAACTGTATCTCATTTTATTGTTAAAACCTTTACCATGATGAACATTTCCAAAAGACATTCTAATTTCAACTCCAGAAATCTATTTAGCTCATATGAACAAGTTGCACTTATTTCATTGCTATTATTCATAAATCTCCTATTTTCTGCTTGGATGGTAAATCACACAAGTAGCAAAAACCAGGTTCCTTGAAGTGACTGTAATTGTTCTTTTCTCACCCCGACAACAAACTTGACTCATCAAGGTGCAGAAGCCATAGTGACAGACTTCTGGTTCAGATTCACCACTTTGTGTCTCTTTTTTTCTCCATGCCAGCCGGCCCTTTTCTCCATTTAAGAAATTCTGGCAGGGTAATTTAAAGACATCCACCTAGGTTGGATTAGTTGCATTTTCACCAAAACTCCTGTACTTCAGCATTCATGTTTATGGAAATAGTTGCAGCTACTGATTTCCTTTGGTTAAACTGTTATAATATTGATTCATTTTGTTTATTTCAGTTCATAAGGATGCAATTTATCCTAATTTTGATTTTGGTTGTAGAGGTTGGCGATTTGAAGGAGCTGCAGACACTAGACATTTCTACCAATCGTTTGCTTACTTTACCCGAGAGGCTTCACATGTGCCTTTCTCTGCAGTACCTCACTGTGGACCGAAATCGTCTATGGTTTGTGCCGCGCCATCTCTGCCAGCTGCCCAGCCTCAATGAGCTCTCCATGGCTGGAAACCGTCTTGCATTTTTGCCACTTGGTAAGTAATTGTGTTTAAAGTAAAACAGCCAAAGAATAAGATGGAAAGCTTTTGTTTCTTTGACTGGAACCAATTAGTTAGTTTCCTTCCTTGTGTTTATCTTGATGATTGCTTCTCTAAGTTTGTTTTTGCAGTGAACAAAGTGTCATTCCTAGTTAACAAATGGAATTTATTTCAGTGAGGGATTTTATACTTTAAAAAAGAAATCTGTGCTAAAATTATGTTTAGGGACAAAATATATGAGATGATTTCCTCAGAGAAAGGAATTAAAGTGTGTGTGTGTGTGTGTGTGTATGTGTGTAAAGGTATTGAACAATATGAAAAGATAGCTACTGGTACAAGTATTGGCTTAGGTGTTGACTTCTCCCTAGGAAAATTGATATTGGGTATCCTAATAGTTAGTATTGCCAAATAACCAGATTACAACACTTTAAAGACCTTAAAATTGGCTGAACTTCCTGCTGAGCTAGAAAGTCAGCTTGGCTAAAAAATAACGTATTATCCACTGTAGCTGTAGCTGACTCATTTTGACATAATATATGTCAAAGTACATGGGCCTTGAATAAAACAGTACATTTATTTTGTAGATAGCTGAATAATTTTGTTAACTTGTAAGAAACAAACATGCCACTTAAAAAAATTTAAATATGAGGCCTCTTCGAAACTTAAACTGTCACAATAAGCATCATATGATTTTACTCATAAAAGCATTTTTATAGTGAATAATTCATCTCTGAGGGCAGTAAATAATTTACTAGTCCCCAAAGGAAATATTTTCCAACATAATACAATGCACATACTATTTTCAATTTAATATGTTCAAGGTAACTTTAAAATACTGAACACATTAAAATCAATTGAAGTGATAATCAAATTTAAGGAGATTATTTTTTCCATAAATATAATTACGTTTTGTACTTATAAAATTAACAAAATGAGGCCGTTTCAGAAGCAGGCTACATTTCTAAGAAATCAGAGCTTCTTTCAAGTGAGAAAAATATCAAATATAAATAGATTTTTAAAAATAAAGGTACCTGCTGCTCTAACCCCACAGGTCATGCATAGACCAATTATGGTGGACAAGTACCAAATTACAAATCTAGAGATCCAGGGTATAGCCTGATTCCACCATTTCACAGTGTGTGACCTGGAGTAAGTCACCGGAACCTCTCTGAGCTTCATAAATTTTATTTTCCATGAGCCAGACATCATATTTATCCTGCTTCCTTTACAGTTATTTTGAACTCGAATATGATAGTTTATGTATAAGAATTAGAAAGCACTGTACAAATGTAGATGACTCTCAAATGAGAAGATACAACTTGTAGATTACCATATCTGACTTAAAAAATGTTTACTCTCGAGCCAGGCATGGTGATGCATACCTGTAGTCCCAGCTACCCAGGAGGCTGAGGTAGAAAGATCACTTGAGCCCAGGAGTTTAAGGATGCAGTGAGCTATGACTGTGCCTGAGAATAGCCACTGCTCTCCAGCCTGGGCAACATACCAATACCCCGTCTCTAAAAAAAATTGTTTTTACTCCCCTCACATTCACCTCCTCTCCTTGTAGTAAGTACCTAAACTTGTACTTACCACTTCCTAATGGAGATGGAAATGTGACCTATACCAGTGCCAACTGCCTTCCAAGTGATTGCCAGGATGTTGCTGTCAGTGCTGGCAATACATGAGGGAAGGCAAGGAGGGAGGGAGGGAGGGAGATAAAGGATGTGATGGTTTTATTTGTGTGGCATAGAATGCAACTTACTGGCATAACACCAGATTCAGAGTAAAGTTGCAAATTTCGTTGTAAGCAGCCTTTAACCTACTGTGGTTTGACTTTCAGATGTTACCAGAAACAGATTAGCTTGTTAAGTCTGGGGTTGCCCATGCTACTATTCATAATGTTGTTGTTGTTGTTATAGACAATATATGTAAAAAGGAGTGTTTCCGTGTGCAATAATGGTATTATGTATACTACTATGACTATTTGTAAGAATAATAATAGCTATCAGATCCGGCCACTGCATTCCAGCCTGGGTGACAGAGCGAGACTCCGTCTCAAAAAAATAATAATAATAATAATAGCTATCATTTATTGAGCACTGAGCCTTCGGCCAGGTATTCTATTTAATATGCTCACTAATTTAGTTATTACAAAACCTTATGACAAAATCTATTATTATAAAAGTTATTGGCAACCTAATTTTGCAGATAAGGAAATTGAGGCTCACAGAAGTTAAGTAATCTGCCAGAGTCACAGCTAGTAAGAGACAGAATTGAGTTTTGTCTGATTTCAAACCTACATTGCCACATCGGCATGCTGTCTCCATATTTCAGGCATGGTCTCTCTACAGGGGGACCTTATTTGGGAATAGGGCTGAACCGTATTGAGCACCGTATTGTTTGTGGCACCGTATTGTTTGTGGCACCGTATTGTTTGTGGCCGTTTCCAGTGTCAAAGTTTGGCTCTGCCATTTTGGGCTCAAGATACTCCTAGTGACACTCTTGTTGGCCTCATTCAATATATCTCTCTATTCACTTAACAAGATTACCTGCTGGAGGCTAGTGCTTTATCTCACCTACCACTCTGTACACCAACCTGGTGCTCCCAATTACTTGTTTCCACCTGGCCTTGTGTCAGTAGCTTCTGCATCAACAGAAATCTTATAAAAGCCTAGGCCTGAACCCTGTTATCTAGATCTATCTTGGTGCTAGTAACTCTTCTTCCATTGCCCGGCCCCTACAACTTCAGCAGAACTCCTGGTTCCTTAATTTGGAGGTGTGCTCCTAATAAATTGTTTTTCTCTTGTCTTGGTTATTCTGTTACATATTCTTTGTCTCAGCTGTAAACCATTCATACAACTACTGGCTACATTGAGTCTGCCAGAGTCTGATCCATAGCCCTCTTCTCTTGTCTGATACTCAGATGTGCTCTTACCACAATGCCATCTGGTTCTAGAGCCCTAGCTCTGCCTAGATTCCCGCACACAATTGAACTCCTTAAGTTGAATGACTTTTGTTTGCTGCAGCTGGTTACTGTGCCCTTCGCCTTGCCTATTCTGCCTCCCTCACTATGGTTCCTTAGCCTTGGCTCCTCATTCCCCTAGTCATTGGCCACTCATTCCTGCCTTTCTTTCAGCAGTGACACAAGCTGAGTATGTGCCAAGGTGGCAGTGGTGGTGGGAGAATAGAGGGAAGCCATTCCCATAGGAAGCTGACCACTGTCATATTTGGGGCCCTGGGAGTGATGCTGTGTGTCATGCTGAATGCTTGCAGCAACAGAGGACCCAACTTGCAGTGGCTGGTGCAAGGTTAAAGAAATGGTTGTTGGTAGAGAACTGAGTGCTACATACACATGGCTAGTCTGCTCTTCTGCCTTGGCACCCTCAGTTATTTACTAGGGCATCTTCTGTATGCACCATGCTAATGGCCAGTGTGGCTAGGGAGGTGGGCATCTCTTCTTTGGTACACAATCTTCAGTGGTGAGTTGAACTATTACAGAGTAGCTTCTGTCTCTAGGTTTCTTGTTACTCCAAAGCCTTGCCTCTGTGTCAGGAGCAACCTTCCTTTGTGAATTTGTGAATGTGGTGTCAAAGAGCTTTAGAGGCAAGAGGGTCTACTCTGCACTTTGAGGAGGATGCCTTATGGCAGTTGAAGTAACCACAACTCCCAAGTCTTGGGCTGCAGATAGCCCAGGATAGGAAGCAGCTTCCACAAGGCTCTGGTCACCATCCTGGCTCATAAGGCTTACAGCCCTGGCAGAACATGGGCCTGTGAATAGGTTTTACTTTACTTTAGAAAAGCATACAAGCAAGAGGATGATGATGATGAAGATTATCCAGTATAAAAGAAGCAGGCTACCTGAAGCAATGCTCTGTCCTGGTCTAAAACTGGATTCTTTGAGAACAGCAGGAAGAAAGGATCAGGGAGCAAATACAAGCCCTGGTGGCCTTGCTGCATCTGGTATACTGGATATTCTTTGTAAGAAATGGATGAGACAGCTAGAGAGCTCTGTGTGAGGTCACTCAAGGAAGGGTTCAGGAGACTGGAGACAGGATAATCCACGGAGATGAAGAAACTGAAGCTGACCAAAATAGCCAGTTTCCTCATTCTTGTCTTTCTGTTTCTGGGGGTATTTTTTGCCATCATGAAGATCGATTTGGATATTGAATTCAGTTCTGTCTTTAGGAAGAAAACAATTAAATTTATACACTTAAAACCTTTCCATGAACCTTTTTCTGAAAAACCAAAGCCATCTAATGCTAAGAACTATCTGGGAGAGAGCCAAACAAAGCATGCAGCCTCTGGTACTGCCTTTTTTTTTTAGAGAACTGAACTGTTCTTAGAAACTTAGCAAATGGGGTATCTCTTTACAGTAGTTTGGAAATACTCTGCACATACACACAGGCACACACTCACATGTACCTCTAAGGTTTTCAAATATTAGAAGGCTTCTGTGTTATAAGAGCCTTGATTCTATAAGAATAATACAGGAACTTGAAAGTTTTATGAAACGAATGCTGTGATATCGCTCCCTATGATAGGAGGTGGGAATCTTATTTTGGGGAGCCACTTAATGAATTCAGTTTCTTGCCAAAGAAGTGTGACTTAGGAGAAAACCAGTCTTCAAGTGGCTTCTTAAAGAAATGTAAGATTATAGCCTCTTCAAAAGGTAACTAAAGATACCATATGTAAGGGATGACTTAAATCACTTATAATACTGTCTAACCCATTAACAGTCTTTGAGTATGTTTCCCTAAGTCACTTGTAATACTTTTGAAACCATTAAGACTCTTTGACTGTGTTCTTCTTAAGATGAAAAGATGCATCAAAAGAAAAGAATGTTCCTATTATTACTATGCCAGCACAACTGAGTGACAGAAGATTCTACAGATAGAAGCTTTGTTCACGGTGGTGACTATCAGCAAGGAAGAGGGGAAAGCAGTCACTTGAGCCTAGTGCTATGAAATTTAATAGAGTCCTCAAAACTTGAATATTTG